ACTCACTCATTCACACACACACACACACTCACTCACTCTCCCACTCTCTCTGTCTCTCTCATTGTCTCTGTGTCTCTCTCACACACTGTCTCTCACTCACTCACACACTCACTTTCTGTCTCTCTCACTCTCTCACATTTACTCTGTATTCTGTCTCTCACTCATTCTGTCTCTCACTCATTCTGTCTCTCACTCATTCTGTCTCTCTTCGCTTTCTTTCAGTCACTCACACGCACTCTGTCTCCCTTCGCTATCTCTCTAACTCTGTCTCTCTCTGTCTCATGCACTGTCTCTCACTCACACTCATTCTGTCTCTATCTCCCTCAGTTATGCGCTCTCTATCTCACTCACATGCACACTTATTCACTCTCACTCTCGTCCTTGCTCACCCTCTGCCTCTCTTTGGTGGTATGGTGCCTCAGTGGTTAGCACTAAATAAAAGCCGAAAGAACTTCAGTTCTGAGGGTCACTGGACCCAAAATGTTAACTCTGTTTTTGCCTTCACAGATGCTGCCAGACCTGCTGAGTTTTTCCAGCAACTTGGTTTTTGTATGGTGGTTAGCGCTGCTGCCTCACAGCACTGGGGACCTGGGTTCAATTCCACCCTCGGGTGACTGTCTGTGTGGAGTTTGCACATTCCTCTGGGTGCTCTAGCTTCCTCCCACAGTCCAAAAATGTGCAGTTTAGGTGGATTGGCCATGGGAAGTGTAGGGTAGGAGGGGTAGGTCTGGACAGAATGATGTTTGGGAGTTCATTATGGTCTCAATGGGCCGAGTGGCCTGCTACCACACTGTAGAGATTCTATGATTCTGTCTCTGACTTGCTCACTCTGGAGTTCAGATTCGATTCCATCTTGAAATGAGTACCACCCTTATTTGCCTGCATTCGTTTCTCTCTGCCTGCTCCCTCTCTGTCTTCCACGTGATATTGCCAAACTGCTTTGTTACTCTCTCGTTGTGCCTCCTTTGACCCATCTCTCACCCTCTTGCTGTCTCACTTCCTTGCTCTCTCCCCCGTCTTGGTCTCTCACTCTCCACCTCGCTTGCACACTGACGGTCATTCTTGCTGTCTTGCTCCCTCTCACTCTCTCTCTATCTGTTTCTCTTTTTCTTTCTCTCTCTCTCTCTGTCTCTCTCTCATCCTCCCTCGATCTCTCATTCAAAGTTAAAGCCCAAACAGACCAATCCATTGGTCACCCAGCCAGAGGTGCATCAGGGCCACAATCACATCAGCACTCTGTTGATGGTGGTGCATGCTTAACCTTGTTGGGTTTCTAATTCCTAGATCCAGGTGAACACTGTGAGCAAGAGTTGAAAGCCCACTGGCAGCAGGCAGAAACTTGAAACAGAATTCAGTAAAATTCCCAAACTGAAATCTCATTCTTGGAAATGGCACCCAGGGAAGAAAAGGCGCCGGGAAGCTGTGTGCGCTGTGAGGGTGAGGTTTCAGGTGGAGTATGTATCAGCATATGGTGTTTCACCTGTGTGACTGTGTCCCCCATCACTGTCGTTTCAGATAATCCAGATCGCTCCGATTCCTGTGGTACAGCAGCAGGTCAGCTCACAGGCTGTGAATCAGCCAGCAGCAAGCCCCGCTCTCCACACCAGCTTCCCCACCATGGCCACCTCCAGCATCCCACCCAAAATGTTGCTGCCCAGCTCCAACAGGTAACGTACTGCACAGAGTCCCCTCCTCTTTTACCCAGACTAGCTCACCGTCACAGCCCTGCGCACGCGCACGCTCGCTCGCTCACTGTCACAGCCCTGTGCGCACGCTCGCTCACCGTCACAGCCCTGCGCGCGCGCGCACACTCGCTCACCGTCACAGCCCTGCGCATGCGCACGCACGCTCACTATCACAGCCCTGCACGCGCACACACACACATTCACTCACTAACACGCACACTCGCTCACCATCACATCCCTGCACACGCGCACACACTCACCGTCACATCCCTGCACACGCACACGCTCACTCACTAACACGCACACTCACTCACCGTCACATCC